ATAGAAACAGGATTCTATTATTAACAATGTGCCTTGTTTGGTCGCTCTAAGGCGACGTGCAGATATCCTGCCACTTCATAAACAGCAGTAGCAACGGCAACAGCAGCAGGAGCAGACGAGAAGAGCAATATGAAACAATGACAGCCAACAATGGACAGCAGCAACAACATCAACTAGAAGAACAACAACAAAAATAACAACAATAACGTCATCATCTTGAATAAAGTGTTGACATCTTTTTGCCCATTCATTGTGTTGTCCTCGGTTCTGTCCCACTGTCTGTCACAGTCTGCCAACAAGCATCCTTGACTAACGCTATGCGTCCTTTTTAATTAATTTCACTTACTGCTGCAGCAGTCCATCCTCATCCTCATCCTCATCCCTCTCAGTATGCTTCATAGCTGCCAATGTGACATGGTCCACAATCTATCTCGTTACCCCGCAGCGAGCACTGAGTTGAATTGAGTTGAGTTGAGCTGTTGTTGTTGTCTCAAATTCGGTTTTGCATGTGCAGGACTCCTCACTGTTCATAAATTTGTTGGCGTCACGTTGTCATGCCACACCCCCCTCAACCCATCTCCCATCCGCCCACTTCTAACTACCACCCATTTTGACGCAGTTTACCTCAACAGTCAAGCAGCGTTTGATGATGGAATGAAGAGATCATGTGAAGCGAACTGGAACCCAGTCCAGACATCATCAGCAGACATCATTCAACACGAAACACGAAACTCAAAATCAGCAGCAAAATCACTTATGCAAATTGGCTTGCCATGTTTCTGGGTTGAGCGGGGTAACTATGCAACGAAAATCAACTAAATTAATTAAGCTGCTACAAAAATGTGCAAATAAATGGCGATAGGGACTTAATTATAAAGTTATCCTGTTCTATTGTTGCTCAACAATTTTTGCAATTGATCCAAAAATATCGTACAGCATTTATGAATTTATAATTAGTATTTTAAGATTTGGAGTTATTAAGTCAAATCGAAAATGATTTAGTTTCCACCTTCGTTTCCGTTACGTAAAGCGCAAAGGTTTTGAAAGATATTATTAATTGGCCTCACATTTTTTTCGATATACGGTTCCGTTTTGGGAGCTTGGCTTTAATGGCAGTAAATGATAAAAAAGCAAGAAAACTAATACTAGAAAATACACATTTATCAATCAATATCAACCGAAAGATGAGATCAAAAAAAAATCAAATGTCGTATTTTCTTAAGTTTTATAAATAAACCTTATTAAATGAACAAAGTCATTCAGTCAATTTTTTGTGTGCGGCTCAATACGAAACCTATTTAAGGCCTACAATAGGCCCCTCAAAAGCAATTGGCCAGTTCTGTCTCCGCCTCTCTTTCTCTTGAGAGCTGTCTGTGCCACATAAAGTATATAGCCTATATATATATGTACTGCCATGTATATAAGGAAGCATGTGTATTTAACATGTACTCTTACCAGTCTCCGCATAATCCTTGGCACGGGCAACAGACGCGTAAACCCAAATTAAATACCCATGTGAAGGCTCCTCAACTTCCCCTTGCCACTTAACAGTGAGTTATGTGCTGTGTGCTGCGTGGCTGTTGCACAGCCTGCCTCAGTTTGCCAAAATTTGTGTATATTTACACGTATAGAGGGATTTGTGGCTTGCCAGTTTGACTACCCGCCTGACTGCCATCCTGCATGAAAATTAGATTTTCAGCCAACAGGTTTCCCCATTATTTGCAACAAAAAAAATAAAAATAAAGAAAAGAAAATCTTGAATTCGACGCATTTCGCTTTTGCATAATACATAAATATTTTCTATTTGCGCTACATTCGAAGAGGGGCGCATGGAGTGGAGTACTACTGAGTCCCAGGTCTCGTGTCTCAAGTGTGGCCAATAGGCACAGCATAAATAAGCAGACCGTATTCCCTCGACACCTTCTCTCTGTCTCTCTCGCTCTCTATTCCCCTCTCTGCCTGCCACTCACGCACTTGCCATTCTGACATCATTCATACGAATGTTTGTGTGTGGCAGATATATACATATATATATATATCTATATACATATTATATATATATATACATACATATATATTCAGGTAGGTGCTAGAGTGAGGCCGATGCCTGCACACGCTACCGACTCTTATTTTTATTATTTATGTTACTCATTCGCCTCGTATCCTGCTTGTTGATTGCTTTGCGTACACGTGTAGTTTGTGGCACTCTCCCCCAGTATCCAGCCTCAATATATATATATATATTTACCAATTCGTTGTCGAGCCCACAACAGCGTGCGTCCTTGCACATGACTCGAGTGCCTTTTGTTTGCCTCAACGTCTCTCGTTCTCGGCCTCGTTGCCATCGTCCTCATCATCGCCTCGACGCGCTAATATTATGAATGGAAACCCGTGCATTGTAGCCAAGTTTGCCAGTTGGCCCGTTGCCCGGTAGGTAGTTAATAGCTGGTAGTTGCTTTACCTCTGCGCTAGCCTTCTTTACGATCCAGCTTAGCATTGGCACAGGAGCGTCTGCAGCCTGAAAGAGATTAGACTCGGAAAAGTATGCTCAGTATATGTTTTCCAATTGAAAGTATTTGCAATGCCGATAAGATCACATTTTGTTTGTAGCATCGATAATTATAGGTATATTATTTCTTTCTGTGTCAAAATAGACAGAAAACAAAATAATTATAATAATGAAACCACAAGGTAAGCGTGACAATAAAATACATACAAAGGCAGTATATTCATATATGGATGCTATTCATAATTAGATCACTATATAAGGCAAGAAATGAAAAATATTTCATGGTTCTGGGTAAACTGCTTTTCATGTGCATGTGTTTTACTCTTGTCCCTATGTCTACTTTTCTCAAACTGTCGCAAGTATATTTTGAGAATCATGAATGAAAAACAACATCGAATGGCACAGCTCAACAACAACAACAATAATCAAATGGATCAGTTAAGGGACGAGTCGGACTGTTGTTCCATTTGCCTGATGCCCAAGACCAATGAGGTGTTTATTCGGTGCAAGCACACGTTCTGCTTCAATTGCATGGATGCCTACTGCAGCAATGTGCACATCAATCGCCGCTGTCCGTTGTGCCGCACTTGTTTCTTCTATTTTGAGCGCAAGAACGGTGTGCCCCTGATTGTTATACCCGATGAGGAAAGTGAAGGATCGTCATCGGAAGACGATGATGACGATGAAGATGATGATGTAGATTGGTAGATGATCTAATGAGTTTCGTTCTTATTTAGTTGGATTTCTTCTGTTTATTTTATTGTTAATAAATTATAGCATTTGCTAGTTAGCAAGGCGAAAACCGCAAGCCGCTCCTGACTCGCTAAGGTGTCAATGTGTGTGTGTACACGAAAGTGTGTATGTGTGCTTCTATTAGATGAATTGTAGGTAAGCCTCTGGCGAAATTACACCAGGCAGAAGCATCCATGTGGCGATGAAGCCTGATTGCTACTTAAACCTTTGTATTTACTTCATATTAAGCAATATTTTACCTACCCACACACATACAACGACACTTTTGCTGTGAATGACAGTCAATCCCCTAGCAACACTTCCACCGCCAGCTAGTCTTAGTGTGTTAGAGACTTGTGACTAAGTTGTGCTTACCTTGTGCATTTCCATTTGGTTAAGTCTGCTCCTTTTTTTTTTTTGGATATTTTTTGGTTGACTTCACGAGAATGCTTAGCAACAAAAAAAAAGATAGCCAAAAGAATGAAGCAAAATTGAGGTCAATTTTTGTTGTCATATTGAAAGCTGGCAGAGTCCCCCAAGCGACGTGTTCAGCATTCTTCTTGTTTAATATTAAAATAAATATTTATTTATTTATTATTTACTGCGACCCTCGCAGTTGTTGACCAACAACAAATGGTAACAACAACGAGACTAACGAGACAGCAACTGCAACCTGGTCATTTTGAATGCTCAGGGCACAGAGCGGGAAAGGGAAGGGTAAGGGGAAGGGGGTATGGTACGGGTGCTGTAATCTATCTGATATATTGCTCCCAGGCTGTGGCTGTCGTTGGAGCGTTGAGAGCGGCTTCCAGGCATTTTTAATATTTAAATAGTTGCCATCAAAATGATTACTAAAAGGCCAACAATAGAGGAGAGAAGAGCGGGGTAAGATTGGGGGTCATACATTCCAAATGAGTTATTTTTACTAAAGGCTTTTTTGGTAAACAAACCTGCTAGTCTCTTGTTGCTTGCTTAGCCGAAGGCATTTTGTAATTTTCTTAGCTTATGTGCGTGTCAAATTATAATTTTCAATTCTTTTCGAATGCTTTTGGGGCATGGAGGAATATTCAATGAGCAAATCTGTCTTTGTTATACACTGAATGGGAATAATGTTTAACGAAGCTGAGCAAATAAGATAAGATCTCGAATTTTGTCAATAATTTCCCTGATAGCACATATATAACGATATAGAATTCTTATAGATACATAATATGCCCAATCGTATTATTGATCGATGTTAAATTAAAATGTATTTTCATATTGAACAACTGGTTTTAGGGTGCCTAGTATACGAGCCCTGTCGACTTGAGCATTCTAAATTGTTTTTTTTTTCTGCTTATAACAAGAATTGAGCTTATTTTTGTAATGTGCAGATTTTGTTAAGTGAGGCAAAAAGTTTTTAATTGAAAATTTGTAGCAATTAAGCAAATCGGATCGAAACATTTTCTAGATTATAATCTTGCCAAGTTCTGAGAAGCCAAAACAAATGGCAGCAGCCACAGCAGCATTTAATAAATAGTGCAAAAGTAAGCAAATATAAAAGCAACGAAAATAGCAATTTAATGGAAATTCTTTGATTCATATCATTTACATTTGCATTTGCAATTGAATATTTTGCTTTTGCTCTGCACTTGTTATGCATAACTGAAAACTAATTCGTGAATATTTTCTATTTGCAGTGGCGCACGGCAGTGGTAAAACCCGAATGCAAATCAAATCGAATTGAAACAACACCAAAAGAACCACACAGACAGACAGACAGAGACAGACATACAGAGAGAGAGAGAGAGAGAGAGAGAGAGGAAGAGGAGTGAAGTGGAGCAATGCATGGAAATTCAATACGATGAACACAACACAAACATCAATTGCAACAATTTTGGCGAGCATATCGAAAAATCAGCTCGACGCAATGGAAAACTAAAATACCAAAAAGAACTTTAAGCATACACAAAACGCATTCAGAGATACGGTTTCGGTTTAGTTAGATAAGCCAGTCGAAATCATTGACTGAGAGCAGGCAAAAAACTTCTCCTACTCGATTCCACCTCCAAAATAGCACATAAAAAAGCCGCAACGCGCAATTGCCACACGATGTGCAGCAGCAACAATAAAAATAACAGTAACAGGAACGGGAACGGGAACAGGAACAGGAACAAGGAGCTACTGCTGTGGATTGCCTTGGCTGGCGTTGTCCTGACACTGAATATGCCAGGCAACCTTGCTGAACAACACCCGGCGACAGCTGATGAAGGTGAGTGTTAGGATTTCATATACATACATACTCGTACATATGTTCATGTAGGCAGAGTTCACAGGATTGTACACACTAATAAAGTCTGTGTGGAGGCATAAATAAAACACTCGCAGCCATTGACGGAATTGCGGCGTCAAAACCTCAATTGAAAAATAAATAGCGTTACCACAAAACAACACAAGTCGAAATGATTGAGGGAAACGGAAATGTGTAAAAAGTGCGCAGGGTTACAGTCAGCACCAAACCGAATCCGAAACAGAAACAGACACAGCAACCCAAGCCCAAACCCAAAACCGTAACCAAAAAATACTCCAATATAAAACGAAGTAAAAAGAAAAGCAATTTAGACATTAACACTTTTTGTGCGCAATGGAAAATCGAGGGGTTGCCAGTGACTACTCTATATACATACATTCACATGTATATCAGTCAATTTCAAATGTTTGTTTATTTTTTTTGTATTTTCTAAAATAAGCGTTAAATTATAAAGTAAATGGGAATAACATTTTGACAGGTTTTTATTTTGATGTTGTCGCATAAGGATTCGTAACTTTAAAAATGTGTGTGTGTTCTTTAATACTGACAGGAAAATACCCTGTAGCCGAGTATTTTCAAATATCACATTGAGCGCATGAATCAGCCATAACTTTATCAAATGTGATCCGATTTGAAAAAACGAGGTCTTCTTAGTCATGGATTGATCTCTAGAGCAAAACTACATTTAAAGTAGAAAACGCGAATTTGACTTTCCACGCCGATAACTTTTTTAAAGGTGAAAACCAGTTATTTTTAATAATGATTCCAACCCTTGATTAAACTGCATAATTCTGGATCGATTTTCATGCATAGATTCCTCAGTTTGATCAAAAACTACACACAATAATTCCCCTTTCAGGGTCGTGACTCTTTAACGTACAAACATTTTATCCCATTAAATTTCAATGTATTTCACGCACATTAAATGAAATTCGAGTGAATGTCAATGGGTTCCTCAGGGTTGCTATTAGTTTTCCTTATGCTCGTTGGGAATTGTTCGATTACTGGATGTTTGCTGCTCTCTCGTCGCACACTATGATTCTACTATTTTGTTTGCCTGACTCCGTGTGTGTGTGCGTGTGTTGACTTATGTGTATTTTGAAATGGAGGCGTAACCTTTCGGGTCAAACATCTGGCATCGAAATACAGTCACAAAATTCACATTCACCGTTAATTACTATGGACTGTAAAATGGGAAATGCACTTTTCGGCGTTTGGTAATGTTGCGTTTGGATAGAGCAAAAGCGATTTGGTGACGATGTTGCAACTCAGCAACAAAATGTCATCCAAAATGTGACTCAGATTGAATTGCGGTGGATGCGGTGGGGTGAGTTTGCGTTTGGTGTTGGGGTTGTCTGGGCTCTAAAAATGTTCATACAAATCGCTTGCCGAATCGTGCCATGTGTAATTGGATTTATGCTGCTGGTGACAAACTGTGACACTCACCCCACAGCTTCCCATCCTTCGAAACCCCCCAGCCTCAACGCTTGCATCATTGACAACAGTTGTCGTTGTTATCGATGCCATCGCCAGCTGATCATCATTATTATCATAGTCATCATCAGCGCTATCTTCATCATCATCAGCGTCAGCCAAATGTGATTTAAATTCGATTATTCTCAATTATTTTGTAACATGCATTTCATTTCAATTTCATTGTAAGAATACCCCTCCGGACTCGCTTCGATGCTCATTCACTAAACTCGAGCCATCACCCCTCGGTATTTGTGACTTCATGATTCGTATACCCTTGCATAGGGTATGATAATAGTGTCGTTAAGTTTGAAGAGTTAGAGGCGTTGAAGGAGAACTCTCTGACTTCATAAATTACATACATTTTATTGATCAGTGAGCATTGTTGTTTAGTAAGATATCCAAAACCAACTTAGGTAACATACATATTATTGTGTTCCTCCCATCAAGAATACATATAGTCGATATCAGACTGCTATATTATATAGCAGAGATAAGAACAATGTGCAGAAAGATTAATCCTTTTCCATTTACCTAGTTATCCAAATCAAACTCATCATTTCTGCCACTTAAAATGTGGACAAAAATCTATGGACTATGTGATATAGCTTTCATAGGAACAATCGGTTGGTTTTTAGATAAGGATTTCTTCAGGTTGTTCAGAGTCAGCAAGGGAATGTGAACTTCGGCATGCCTTACTTTTTTTTTCACCAGGGCTCTCATTTGTTGCTTGTTTCTTTTTATTGGTTCACTTGAGTGGATTTCGATGCCTGAGCCTCTCTCTTCTCGGACGGTTGCATTTGTTTGATTGAAATTGATTTGGTCTCACTGGGGATTTAACTTGACTCTCGTATTGTTTTTTGTTCCCTTGTTGTCGAGAACCATAACCATATTGTAGTATTATTTTTCAAGTGCTCAAGTTGACTTCGCAGCGGCTTAAGTGTTAAACTTATACTTTTCCTTCAGTTTTTTTCCCTCGTTTTCGTAATGAGAGTGTTTTTTTCCTTCTTTTTGTGTGTTTCAGGGCCCGCTTTAATAAAGATTAAGTTTTGAGACTTATGAAGTACTTACATTTGATGTGTGGGAAGTGAGTTTCATATTTCCAAGCATAAAGTTGTCTTTATCTAAATTATAAGTGCATCCTCAGTCTGCACTCCAATTATGCATATACATAGTGCTCCCCAAATCCATTTATAGCTAAAGCATCAGCCATCAGAATGTCCAACAAGCCGCAATTTTCAAACTGTTTTTCGACTATATGATATGCTCGAATACAAAACGCTATCCTTTCTCTTTATTATTTTGGTAAGGCTCTGTGTTGTTGGCTATCTAATCAAATATTCAACCTTTTTTATTTGGCTGTACTGATTTCATGGCTGCGATAAGCAAATATCTGCCATTCCCCGACAAATTACTTGTTAACAAGTGCATTTTAATGCGCAAAAAAAAAAAAAAAACAGTAGCCACAACAACAAGGTTTTTAGAAGTGCCTCGATTTTCTTTTTGGCCAATTTGTGGCATGTGTTTAGGTGGCCACTCCAGCTCGACGTGTGTGAGTAGCCGCAATTGGAATGAATGTGGCCAATAAAAATAAAAAGCCGGGCCTACAACTGTAGTTGCCACAAAACTCTCCAACTCCCAACCCCCACCCGTTTTGTGTGGATGTTTGGCCAATTGGAATAGAAAATTGACATGGCTTTTTGTGCTTTACTCTTAGTAGTTGTATTTGTACACCGCTGTGATTCAGCTGTGATTGTTGCCTTTCTTTTGGCGTTTTGCTTTGTAATGTAATTTTATCATGCAACGAACTATTTTGCAGTAGGTGTCCGACAATTATATAGTTGCAGTAGGTGTCCGACAATTATATAGTTCCGAGCGTTGAAAGCGAAAGCTGGCCAATTTTCAGGTATTAGCAATTTCTGATTTAGGTCATAACTTTAAAATTTTAATTAAAACAGGATTAAGCGAGTGGAGCGTGGCTGAATGCAGTAGTCGAGAAGGCTCGACTTGGAGATACCCTGAGCACAGATATTATATTAAATAATTAATTTTTTTTAATGTGTTTGAAGGTGCTTCCTTTTACCTGTTACATATACCTCTTTACCCATTTTCAATAGGCAAATAAGCGGACATCTAAAAGTATAGACAAAACCACAAAAAATTCGTTTAAAAATGTGTATGCAAATAAACAATTAAACCTGACGCTGGCATCAAAAAATAGCAAACAAATGTCATGAATTTATTGAGCACACGCAAAGTGGCAGTTAAAAATAAATAAATACCATTAGGGAGGGCATCGAAAATTGAGGCACAATGAAAAGTAACCTGGCAACACCCCTCGTATTGACAACAACCCGCGCTTTGTAATGAGCATTGTTAACGAAATCGAATTTCACGAATTTTATTTCTGCGATTTAATTGTTGATTTCCATTTAATTATTGGCGCTGGCTTTAATTTCAATTGCGACAAACCAAATGTTATTTTTGTCAACTTTACAGCCACCAACATAAGGGAAGAGTGGGAAAACAAGTAAATAAATATTGCTAGGATTTTTGAATAAATAATAAAACGAGAGAAAAAAAAACAAAACGTGTGGAGAGCGCAGATGTTTCGACACTGAAATAATCCATTAATTCAATAAATGCGTAGCGAGAATATCGCTCTTTTTCCATGTTGTCCAGAGAGGTCTTCGGATTGTGTTTTCCTTTTGGCAGCCAACTTTGAAAGACAAATATTTGTTCAACAATTTGTAAATATGCTAAATTGTTTTTATTTTATTTTTTTGTGGGTGTAACCAGCAGCTGAGAAGCGAAACCTGATGCTGATGAAATCAGAATCCTTGACGGCGCTAAGCGCGAAGGCAAATACGACGCAGCAGCCGCGTCCTTTGCTCATTTTAATCCTTGATTTCTTGTACCAATAAAATATTGGAAATATAAAAGAAAAAAGAAAAAAGCAGAAAAAACAACAACCATAAAACACACATAGGAAATTCCGACCCTTTCTGTCAGAAGCTAAGCAAACAACATTTGGGAACATGGTACTTGAAAAATTACCCACCCGCAACAAACATCCTGCTGGGAATATTTGAATGTGAATGTGAATGGATTGGTGTGCCTTTGACGTTCTCAGCGGTATGAATGAATCTGCGGAAAAGCCAGAAATATTTTTCCAAAACAAATACACACACCAACACACACACTCGCGCCAGTGGCCAGGGAGACAAGCGAAACGGACGAGTTCAACTCAAAAATCAATGGGCTCAATTTTAAAGCGTTCGCATTTCATGTTTCGCAAACCATGCCATGATTCGATGATTCTCTCTGTGGCACTGAATCTGTGTGTGTGTGTTGGTGTGTGTGTGTGTGTGTTGATGCGGTCAAGGCTTTGACGGTGCCGCTTCAGCCGCCTGTTGGCCATATGCCTGCGGCATTTGAATTGGGTATGTATGAGGATTGCGCATTGGCATTGGAGTCAGAATCGGGTT